ATACGGTCCGCTAGCCTTTATTCTATTTTTTTTTTCTCCTTCTGTTCCTGTTCGTTTCGAAAGAAATCCTGCAACTCTCGTCGATGAATGGTGCATTGTATTTTTTTTCCTCTCGCTTTTCTTTAACTCCCTCCGATTCCTGTCATCGCGGTATCGTGCTTGGCAGCACTTTAAGAAGCACTGGGCCGCGTACCATTCGGCACAACAGGACGAAGTATACGCTATTGTGTTTTTTTTTATTTATGCACCTTTCCAAAAAAAAAAAAATGATGGGTCTCGTAGCAGAGGGCGGAACGGACCCATCCATCTTCATCGCCTCGTCGAGACTCCCTTGAGGGTCTTCGGACGTTGCGTGCCCGATCGGAGAAGACGGAGTGCTTTCCAACGGCATGGAATTCGCCGTGATCGCCAGACGGAATTATGCAATCTGGCTTAGAAGTTGGGGGGAGCTTACATTATTATTATTATTTTTAAATGGAATATCGGGGGGTCCGCTACTCCATCGTGAGGTGAAACGACCTTCTTTGTTCTGTTCGTGCAGCCTCCAAGGCCGCACAAAGGATGGCAGCTCTGGCAGGCGACGGATTTCGCGCCCGCCTGCCCCCAGCCGGTCCGGTACGTCGGGGTCTCCAAGGGGATCTCCGAGATGGACGAGGACTGCCTCTACCTCAACATCTACACCCCGAGCGTGAGTGCATGTTTGTTTCCGTCGTTGGGCCCTGTGGTTGGTGTGGCGGCGGCGGGAGGGCTGGGGGGGGGGGGGCGTGGGTCGCAGGAAGGTTTTGCGGATGAATTCGTACCGCTGTTAACGCTGTGCGATGTTGATACTGTGATGCATTCGAGGAAGTGAGGGTTTGTCTCCCATGGTAGAAATAACACGAGGGCCCATGGAGCCTGTGGTATGGATTCATTTGCGAATCGCCCGAGGCGGTGCAGGTCTCTTCAACTGGGAATTTATAAAGGGATGGTTGTTTTTTTTTGTGTGTGTTGCAGACTTCGGGTGCGGTATCGGTGAAATATCCCGTCGTGGTGTACATCCACGGGGGGAACTTCGACCACGGCTCCTCGAACACCTTCCCGCCGCACGTGCTGGTCGGGTGGCACGAGGTCGTCGTCGTCACAATCAATTACCGCCTGGGGGCATTGGGTGAGTGGAGGCGGGGACAGTGAGGGGGGAGGAGTCTGTCGTCTGCTCTGGTCTGAGACGAGGTTGATGATGAGGTGGGGTGTCTCGTCTAGGGTTCCTGAGCACGGGGGATCAGAATTCCCCGGGGAATTACGGTTTGCTGGATCAAGCGCTTGCCATCAGGTGGGTGTATGAGAACATCCACAGCTTCAACGGGGATCCGCACGTGATCACATTGTATGGGCCCGGTGCCGGGGGAGCATCTGCTGGGCTTCAGATGATCGCGCCTCGGACGAGGGATTACGTCAGGCGGGTCTTCGCCCAGGTATGGGAGTCCCTTTACCTGTAGGAAACTGGAAAACACGGCTCGTAGATGGAAATACGGCTTGAAGAGGGGGAGAGGGCTTTTGCCCTCGTCCTACTTTCCGAAATGCATCTCTTGAAGAGATTTGGTCGATAAGAAAACAGTCGATTACTTTGGTTGGCTGTTGAATACCGTTCACTCAATTAATCGAAAATTGCAGGTGAGGTTGGCCTATTTCTGTCAAGCATGAAAGCCAGCTTAATATACCTGGGGCCTGGATAAGCTCCCAATCGCACCATAAGTGATCTTGAAGAGGCTCATAGCATCAGCTTTATGGCAAAACAAAAGTAGTCTTGTCCTTCAAAAGTTATAAATTTGTCATGGAGAGTGGAGCTAGCAGTCGGCTCTTGTCTGTCTTCCCCCCATGCAGAAAGCTGCCTATTTCCATCCGTGTCTTGGCTGCATTGGTTCTCGGTCGACATCACATTCACTTGATCGTTGCAGAGTGGATCCATGATGGCCGACTGGGGTGCATTGTGGGAGGTTGAACGGGCCAAGAACACCAGCCGGGTGTACGGAGAGAGGATCGGCTGCAACACGGACAATTCCTACAAGCTGGTGGAATGCCTCATCAAAGGGAGGAGCTATGGGGAGATTGCCAATCAGGAAATTGAGGTCTGGCTCGAGTCGAGTGCCCATGTTGGGAGCAGCAGTGTGCCATTACAAAAGAGTTTTTGGGAGTGAAATTTAAATGTTAAATGGTAGATGTTGTTGAAGAGCATGGTTTGAGACCCGTGGTGATGTTAAATGGAGTCGATCGGGAAGCAGAACCCAGCTAAGGTAGTTGTGACCGGAATGATTCAAATTGAAGTCTCGAAAACATCTTCACGATGATAGTTTCTGAAACTGCCTTGTAAAATTGAGGTATCAAGGAGATAGGTGGTGCAATATGTGACTGTAGGAAGTGCACTTTTAATGAGTTCAAAGCCAGAGCTAGTGTAAGTGTTAATCAAATAGAGTGACACTAACCCACTGGGAGCTGAGCTCATGGTTCAGCTCCCAATGGGTGCCAGCAGAGTATGTACGTGAGGTTGAACCATGCCCCTTCTCCCCACTTGTGAGGCTGAAGCCATTGCCATTTGGATAAAATTTATGGACTTGACATGTGACTCACTCAGATACCTTAATCAGAGGCAGCACAGAGAATCGGCTGCTTATGTTCTTCCATCTTGCATTGGAGTTTTACTTTCACTAGGCATACATATGCAGTACTACCACAGAATGTGTATACATATGCAAAATACAGAATTCAGTGTTCAGGAGCTTTACATGCATGTTCACTTTGAAGCTGATACATAATTGAGAAAGTTCACTCAAGATTTTGCACAAATTAGGAGACATGTTTGTCTGATGCTTCATTATCTTTGCAGCCTGATTTGGGGCTATTTCCCTGGGCACCTGTTGTGGATGGGGAAATCAGGGTCTCAACAGGATCCCCAGACTTTGCTTCAGCAGACTGGCACATACTACCTGAAAAGCCCGAGCTCATGATTGAGGACCGACTGTATCGTGCGAGAGCTTACATGACGGGAGTGACTCGTGATGAGGCTTCGTATCTCCTCTGTAAGACACCAGCCTTTCGTATTCCTTCAGTGTGACTAGCTGTATGCCATGGTTCAGAATCACTGAAGTGTGATTGCTTAAACCCACTTCGTCCATTAACAGTTCGTAGTAGTTGGATTTATGCTGACAGTTACAAATATGCTTGAAACAAACTTTTTGGAAATTTCATGGAACGACTTATATGCCCATTTCAGTTATACCACATTAAGTGTGAAGTGGCTGCCAATTGTTCTGCCCGGTATATTGGTTGGAAGTTGAAAGATCCAATATGAACTGTTTCCATTAACAACATTTTTTGCTATCACTCAAATTATGCAAGTTAATGTAAAATCAGGGGAACGGGAATTAAAATGAAAACAAAAGGTTAGGTTCTCATCATAAAATATAATTGTTACTCTGTAAATGCATGATCATACTGCAGGGAAATACCTTATGTGCAATTGCAGTTTTGGAAATTCTACCTGTGAAACTGTCTATTCACATTATTTTGCTTTCCTGTAAGAGTGCAGTTGTAGTGATGGTGGGACCCTGATGATACTGCCCTGTGCTATGATTTTGAATGAATCAATGTTGACAAATTTAGTGCATTAATTTAAAAAATTAACACACTATGTTTCATTATGAAAACTTGACTTAGCAACAGAATCTGATATTGTTACAGCTATAGAAAATATCCACTGAAGTTTATGTGTTCTCTCCTGCTTTTCAGATCACAACAAGAGCCATGCTCCTGTGTATGACATAGGACAGGATTTTGTGGACATGAAGATTCGAGAATATGTGCACAAGTACAATTACACTCTGAATCCACAGGGGGTGTTTGAGGCCATCAGGTACATGTACACATATTGGCCCGATCCCTCCAATCGCACACACATCAGAGAAGAATACATCAAGGTATGTCTTTGTACTTGTATCTCACATGTGTAGATCCCCAATATTGTCTGTATGGCTAATAGATGTTAAGAGGGGTTCTTTCCCTAGGGGAGCCCTCACAATACCAGAATATCTTGGTGGCTACCCTCATTGATTGATCCAAAAGAGCTTGTGGTGCTCTTCAGATTCAATCAGAAAGCAACATGAGACTGTAAAATAAGTATCTAGCAGGCATCCCTAGCGTGTTCATTTTTTTAATTATGAAAAACTAAGTTTTGAAGACATGAAGTCCTTTTTTCTCCAGGGCAATATAAAATAATAGGGGAGAAGAGAAAAAGAAAAGAAAGCATGATATATGCACTGTACCAAACCCTATGTATTTAATGAATAGCATGTCTGAAATTTATCATTGTCCCTTTGGACACATCCATGCACCATTCTTTGCATGGGATGGCTGAATCAACTGACATGTTGAAGCTGAATATTGTCTTCTTGGACTAATGAAAGATGCATATATATTTGCACTTGTCTTATCCTTTTTTTTTTATGAACCCACTCAGTTTGTGTGACATCCTTGGACTATCATGCTAATTTTGCGATGTACTGCTACTCAACTTTGTTCTTCAAGAATGACAGGTTCTTCAAAACTGAGGAAGTGACTAGTTCCACAACCACTCATTGCTACCTAATTGTCTCAGTTATCCATCTATTAGTCATCTTGAAATTCAGTCCCAGTGTCTTGTTAACATCCAGAAGGAATTACAGTTGCATCATGGGCAATCTTGTTTGCAGATGATGTCAGATGCTCTGTACAGAGCTCCAGTGGATCATGCAGTGAAAATGCTGGTCCCAGATTCCCGAATCGACGTCTACATGTACGTCTTGAATACGACAATTGAGGCCTTGAAGCTCCCATACTGGAGACAGATCCCTCACAATCTTGAATATTACTACTTCACAGGAGCACCATTCATGGACAAAGGTAAAGCTTTTCTATTGTCAAAGTCATTGGGTCAGAATGATGTGGATGCTTTAAGGAATGCATTGTCATGACATTTGTACCAGTAACCTTTTCTTTATAGAGGGCTTTAGTGAAGGTCAATGCCAATCCTAGCTGTACAGCTTTGATTCTAATGAGAAGACAGCAGGTGAAAGGAGACAGAAGTACTTGTTTTTTCTATTGTCAGTTTGCATGCCCCCATTTTGAACCTGTACTCTCAGGCATTCAGTTGAAAGGTTGATTACTTGGAGAGAGGCAGCATCCAGTATGATTGCATGACTCATGCAAATGGCTTTGAAGATTTTAATGAGAGGTTGTTGTTTCGATTCCAGAATTCTTTCCCGAGAACGATAGAGTTGAACGCATCGCTTGGACCGAGTTGGACCGGAATATGAGCCAACTTTTCCTCTACTCTTTTGCCAACTTTGCACGATATGGGTGAGTTGATTGCTTATTTCCTATTTCTGATTGAATTCCCATTTGCTGTTTCCTCACCTTTGAAAAAAATTACTAGTGTTGCAGGACTTTCCTATGGCCAAGTAGAAATGCACGTACTGCTGACCTGCTATTGTGTTTTCTCATAACATAGCTCCTCTGATTCCAATTTCCTAGTTTGCCAAGTTGATTTCATAGGAATATAAATCATGCAGTATAACTTTTAATGTTGCTTTAAGTCTTCTAAATTGCTCTTTGAACTCCTGTGGTAAAAAAATATTCTGTTGTTCAGTCTGCAAAGTCTGCCTGTATGGAAAAATGTTTGATTTCATGTAGTTCTTTTTTGCATTCTTCATTCATAATAGCATGTATGTGTTCTGTGCTGTACAGGCGCCCAACTCCTGAGCAGATTTTCGATATAAATTGGGAGAAGGCGGAGGTTGGTGACTTGAAGTACTTAAGTGTGAACAATACATTCAACACGACCATGCTTCGAAACTACCAACAGCAACAGTGTGCCTTCTGGTCCGAATACATTCCTCTGGTTGTTGGAAGACTCATTCCCACTCTGGAGCCTACCACAGAGGTATATATCTGCTGACTTTCATTTATTTGATGTTCAGTTAATCATGGGCAGTTCAAAGGATAATAAGTAGCATAGATTAGTCAATAGTTAATAGCCCATAGTTTCTTCTTTGAAACTGGTGAAGGTAAAGGAATGATATCAATAGAGAAACTATCAACTTCATGCTGAATAAATGAAAACTGTATATGGCCAAACAGCACACAATAGATATGAATTTAAAAAAAATCATGAAACCCATGCATCAATCTGCCAAGTATTGTAGTTGTGATGGGCAACCCACCTTCAATCCTTCATGACAATTCCTGATGCCTTATGTTAGTGCAAATTGAATTATACATATGTCTTGGAATTCCCATTTAATAGTTTTGGTGGGAGGCTGAGGGTCCTATTCAAGTTGCATTTTGGAGTACTGCTGGTGTAGCTGTACTTCTGCTTATTCTTGTCTTCATCTGCTGCTGTCTCTGGTGTGGTGCCAGACGGTGAGTCAATCATGAATTCTTACAGTGTTTCTGAACAGTATTTTTATGTGGTGTCTTGGCTTATGAGACTGGTGTTCGTGTTTCTGTGCAGGCACCTTGCTAAAGTGCACAAGGAATATGCTGACAGTGCTTTCTTCCCATCGGTGGAGGAGAACTTCCATGCATTTGCCACTCCATCAACCATTCCAGCAACACCACAGATGGATAAAAAGGAGAATGGGAAACCCTTGTTAGCAGCTCGGCCACGTTCAGAGGTGGTTGAAAATCCATATATTTTCAGCAAGTCTTCTGATGAGCTCAACAAACCATACAGGGAGCGCTATGTTAATGGCGTGGCTCACAGCAAAAGCAGTGACAAGTTGGATGGTGATGTTGGCATTCCCATGGTGAAACCCACAAAGCAGTTCAGCAAATCAGAGACCATTCTTGCATCGAGCAGTCCAAAAGTGCCAGTAGGAGCAGTTCCGATTCCAACGATTCCTGCTAAGCCACATCCCAGTGCAATCCGTCCCCTCGTGACGTCGACGACCAAGCCTCCCGACCTCTATCGAGAACAACGGGGTCTGTCTCGGGGGCAGGAGGAAGTTGAGACTCAACCGTTGAGAGGCACTCGCTATGAATTGAGTTCCAGCTACAGTCCTCAAGAGAGCACTTCAGAAACATTGTCATCCATGAGAGACTCTCAGAGATACACCGATTCAGACACGTTGCCCATGACCAAGAAGGTGGCGAGCGGGCAACCGTACGACACGTATGCGAGTGAAGGAATGGACCAAGACCTAAAGAGAACTGATAGCAGTGACACACAGTCACAGGGTTCATGGAAGCGGTATCTTGAATCCTCATGCTGAAGACCATCTTGATCTCAGGCATCATATGACAGCCCTACTGACTTCTTGACACCAGTGATGGAACTCTCCCTGTTGTGCACCAATGCCCTTACTGTCTTTTATGGGAGCTATTATCAAAAAGTGTGCCATGTTACTAAAAGATCTCTCTCTCTCTCTCTCTCTCTCTGAGCCCTGTCACATCACAATTTGGGAACCAATCACTGCCTTTGGTTTTTGTGGTACTCATTTAAAACCTCACAGCAGGAGAAACTTAAGAGCTGGTGTCATATTAAGCAAGGAGGTGTCTCAAGCCTATGGTGATTTCTTTTGTGTCTTTGAATTGTGTCATTTTTCAATCATAAAATTTGGAATGAGATGATTTAAAATGGATATCTTGGCTCTCGTAGTCCATCGCTCCATTATCGATTCTGTGTTGTTCTCTGTTACTCTTTTGCTTGGGAGAGATCCTGGTGCTAGGCAGAAGAACTTGAGCCTGTGTTGGTCCAGAAAGGCATAAGAAGGCTCTGTTTTTAGAGAATTCAGTAATCAGAAGTGGAAATCATCTAAGTTCCCTCTTTTATTACTGCTACAGAGTACAGAGAACTCTTTGTAGTGTGCCTTGGGAAATTTGCCTGTGACTCACGCTTATGATCTATATCCAATCCATGATCTCATGACATCAACGTTGAAGGACTCTTGTTCCTAACATATCGATGATGGATGAAATAGAGTACTCATCCTAGACATTGTCATCTGTGCAATGCCTCTGCAACTAGCCCCCATCTTTCGACAATGCGAGGAAAACGAGGAAGTGCCCCTGTGGTTTCAAGTATGTGCAGAAAAGTTCATTAGTGAAACGCCAAGGTGTGCATGATCCAAGGCTTTATGTAGTACCTGCTTCCTTCCCTCCTGAAGATTGAGTGCAACTGAATGATTACCATTGGGATTTTTTTTCATTGTCTCCGTGCGATCGCCCCAGATATCATAACTTACGATACCTTCGTCATACATGTGATAACTCATGCCATTCCCTCGTGGGATGGCTTGAAAATGGCCTTATTTGTAAACCAGTGGCTGTAAATGCTGCCCGATGCATTCCTGCTGTGTGTGCCTCTGCCTCCCAAGTTCAGGAACTCATAGCATGTGTGTTATGCAGACGTGCACGTTGGTGCTTCTGCTTGCTGTCGCGAGTTTTTTTTTTATACCAGTACAATAAAATGGATTATTGAATTTTTTCTTTCTGGAGACTGATTGAAAATGGGAAGTCGTGGTTGTTGCTGTAGTAATTTTGAATGGATCGAGAGAGTAGAACATGACACCGGCTCTTGGTCCCAGATTCAAACATGCATTGGTAAGACTGACTGCCTTCATCTTACCCAGCAGCGTAGTCAGGGGCCAGGTGTCGCCCCCCCCCCCCCTCTCCCAATAAAAAAAAAAGTTTTAATTAAAGAAAGAAAAGACACATGAAACGCGGAACAGTGTCCCAGGATTCTCGTGGATCCCCCCCCCCCCTGCGTTTCTCATGCACGCTGCGCTTCATGTCTTCCTTTGAGCTGTCTTTTCTCGTGTTTATTTTCCTCAAATTTGGAAAAACGTGAAAGAAAATGTAAAATCCACTAAATTTGATTCCGTGTAGAGTTAGGAGACTAGTTGTAAAAAAAAATTAAAAAAAAAAGGACCAAGGAGTTTCCATTCAGTGTACGTTCAATATCGGCAATTGCTTGCTTAATTTCTGGCAAGTGAAATACGGGAGCGTACATTATGCAAACTGTAACGAGGAATTCGAGGGCTTGGCCCCTCAAAATTTATTGCAGGGCCGCAACGCTGGCCACATTTGGCCGGTGTAGGACGCGATTCTCGCGACCCCGTAGGAACGAGTACCGTGATGAAAGTTGCGTACGCTGAAACCACTACCAGAGTGAAAATGGCGACCGCCGATTCATTACCGTAGTAAAATCCGCGTACGCAGGACCCACTATTGTCACGCGAAAATGACTTCTGTAAGCTCACTTTGTTCGTAATGGGCCGTGCGTCCGTAACACGATCTCCTTTCCAGCCGTACCACCAGGGTCGGGTAGATTATTTCCCCGAAACCTTGATCCAGGGGCGGATGCTAAAATGTTTCATAGGCGGGGGGGGGGTTCCCAAGTTCATAACTAATCCCCCTCTCCTCCCCTCCCCACCTACCACCATTCCTCGTCCTTTCGCCATTTTTATTTTTCGTCTGGAATAAGAATTTGAGTATCTATTTCACTGACTCCAATAAATTTTAATGCGGAGGCTATTTTGAATAAATAAATCAAATTCTTGGCCATAGGGGGCGGTCGCCCCCCCCCCCCCCTCCGTATCCGCCACTGCCTTGACCCGACCTGTCAGGAATTGAAGCATAAAAGGACGGGCGGAAAGAGTACACTTGCACCGATTCAATGGTTTCCACGTGAAGAATACGCGTCTCCGAAGAAATGGCTGATCGCAGTTTGGAATCCATCGCGACACGCCTTCGCCGTTGGGAGTCCGAAGTCCAACCGATGGCGAAAAGCTCGCGGCGTCTGGTGGAGTTTTCTTTTTTCGCACGAGAAGGCCCAACGGCGAAGGCGAGTGCCTTTTTGCAAGTTCGAAACCGGTCGGCTGTCGGTTTCCGTTTGGAAAATTTCCGAGACGTCACAGAAAAACGCATTCGTCGGGTAACGGTTCGATGCTGCCGGGTGGTAACGCTCGCGTACGCCGATGCAACGACCGCGGCAGAACGGGCGAAGGCGAAGACCGCTGCGTTGGCATGGTCTGCTGCGCAAAATTGATTACGGTGGTCGCGATTGTGCGCGAGAGATGTCGCGACCGCGGTCGGTTTCCGCAGGGGTCGGAGCCGCGGCCCGGTCCCTATTGCCGCTCTTGGGGTCGTTTAACGACGCGTTAAACGTGTCGTTTTACGACGCTTTTCCCCGCGAAAGCCGAAGACGATGGCGATTTCCCCGCTGCTTTCTCCTCGCCCCCGGCGCCCACACTCGAACCCAAATATAATCCCTTTTTTTTGTCTTACTCTTACTAGGGCATCGGCAGCTTGCAAACCCGCGACCGATATCGGTGGTTGCCGATGCATCGGTACAGGTCCAAATTTTTGTGTCGAAATTTTGACTAAAATCTCTTCTCGGACGCACAAAAGATCAAGTTATAGTCGATTATCCTGTCACTAGGTGCAAAATATCCCGTCACTAGGTGTAACAAATTCTGTCCATTCTGTGAACCATTAGGTGTGAAAGCAGGACATGCAAGGCATCACTCCAAGGTGCTGGGGCCCGCAAATCGGCGGTGAATTCGTCCACTTCTGGACGGCGGGGCGGGGCGGGGCGGGGCGGGGCATGAGAGCGAGGCTAGAAAGGCACAGAGGTAGGTGAAAGGTAAAGGTCACGTGAAGGTCAGTAAACTGAACCCGTCGCGTCTCGACGCGACTCGATTTTCTTCCGAAAACGGAAGGGACGACGACCGAGATGAACAAAAAAATAAATAATAAAATACATAAGTAAATAATAAAATAAATAAATAAATAATAATAATAAATAAATAAATACGTGAACTGCGCGCAAGTTGACGAATTTCCAGTCGCATATCTGCGCTGTGAAGTTTGGACTGGATCCCGAAAATTAATATACATTATTATAAATACAGTTCATTTTAAGTTTTTTTTTTTTTTTGCATGAAGAGTTTCAAATTCCGTTTCCACCATCCCATGACATTTTTTTCTCGGATTCATTTCCTTCGTTGGCGTGATCGTGCCGTTTCGCGTTTTCCTCGAGCATCTCTTCTGACTTGATTCCGCACCGACGTATCGGCCGCCGGTGCCGGTGCCCGAAGACGGGAAAAGCGGGGGGAAAAAAATTCCGGCGGAGGAAAGGCAGCGGTAAAAGAACGGAAAATGATTGCATTGTTTACGTCGCGCAAGGGACGGGTCGCTAAATGCTCCCAACGAGTGACCTTATGGTGGGACCGGACAGGCCGGACGGGACCAAAAGTGGTCTCCATCGTTTCGAGGAGGCCCACCGATGAGCACCACACGGCTTCCAATTCCACCGATTCGAATTTCCAGGCGATTTCATCTGCAGGCCACGATCGGCACCGGCCGATGGACGTGAGGAAAAAACCGGCCACCGGTCCAGCCCTACTTTTCACGATTCGATAACGCCTCCTTTCATCCAGGGACATTTGGAAGACAACTCACGAGAAATTCGGCCCCCTCCCCCCCCCCCCCCCCCAAACTTTAGGGCTGGTTCGTACCGTTGGTACGTTTGGAACGATCGGAGGGAACCGTTTTTGCAACTTCGATATTCTGATGCAAGACAGAAGCCTCTCCCTGAAGTTGGGAGCCATTTCGTGGCAGACGCCCGAGGTAGGCGGACCACCTAGTATCTGATCACCTAGTGAACCAGGCATCTAAGGTAGGACTGCTAGGACTGTATTTTCCCAGAGGCATATCATCCAGAAAAAAAAAGCCTCTCTCGGCTAGGGATGGGTTATCGACCAGGCAATTAAAAACATGTCCATTGACTGCTCAATTGACCAGTCAATATGGTCAACTATGGTCAATTTTGGCAAATAGGACCAATTTTTCTTTCTTAGAACTAAAGTTCTATAGCTGTTTCTTAGATCTTGAACCTTAACTTTGAAAGTCCTTGAGGCCATAAAACTTTGAACAGCAAGCTATGCTTGCACACACACCCTGCATCACTCAGGTGAAAGGTCATGGTAGTTCGAGCATTTGCTAAAATGTTTTACCTGCACAACAGGTGCCACAGTCTAGGTGTTTGGCAGGCTGCATGAACAAATCGTAAAAATTCAACTGGCTCTTTGGTTTTAGTGCTGGGGGATAACTGACCTCAGTTATGAGTTCTATAAAAAAAAACTTAATTCACTGAATTAAAAAAAATTAGTGGTCAATAATGGTCAATTAAAAGGTGGTCAATCGACCGCCCCAGTCCGGCGGGCGATCGCCGACTGGGAAGTCGGAGGGAAACATGCGGCGGCAGAGGCAGAAGCGTGGCTCAACCGTAAAGGTGACAGCGGAAATATTTCATTACAGTTCTCCACACCTGCATGCCGTTCACACCAAATTCCAGCTACGATGGAGGGAAGGGGTGGTGGTGGGGGGGTTGCTGGATCACAATGGCTGTCTTCGGGGCGACGGCACCTCCAAGGGAAACAGGATTCGTGACGGAAGACGACGTAGGTCTGCATGAAAGTCGTGGGCGAAATCAATATACAGGGTCTGGGGGGGGACCTGTTAATCTTTTAGATCTCCATTTTGCTTTACTTTCGGGCTTCTATTCCATGTCGGACCGACGATCGTAATATAAATTCGAGGTATTCGTGGGAAAAGTATCTGCCTTTTCGCCGAAAATTAGGTTTTATTTTATCCGCACGACCAGTCATGAGACAACTGAGATTTCGTCCAGTTTTTCCAGCAATAGTTTTTTGTTTTTTAAAGGGACTTGAAACATGCTTGATTGCTCTCGATGTTGCCTTTCAGGCTTCTGGGGTGAGGGTGCTGCGGTTGAATGCGACGATTGAGAAGGACTGGTTCTGCTGCCAACAATGACCCGTTTTGCAACCCCCGATTCCAGCTCCGCAACCTCGAAGTCGGCCCGACTTCGAGGCCATCCCGAGGCGGTCTTGCAAAAAGTTTTCGATGGCCAAGGGAAAAAGTGTCTTATTGAGACGCTGGTGTTTTTTTTTGTTTGTTTAACCCGCAAATTCGAGCTGATGGAGCCACACGGGGGGAAAAAATATATATTCCGGGGTTCGTTCCATTGGTTGGGCATCGATTGAAACACTTTACCTGGTCCATTTATATCCCATAGTCTGGATATTGATTGGCTCTCGTCTCGTGTTTCCCCACTGGAGGTACACGTGACCGCGGCAGGCGCAGGGGCAGGGAGGCAGCGCGTCGGGGAGGCTGCACGCCTCCGCAGGGGCTCAGTCGTTGTTGGCGAAGATGGCTGCGCGTATCGCACGAGGGATTCCTCTTGCCCCGCAGTTGTTCCGTTCTGCGAAATCTTGCAGGTGAGGTCGAGTGGCGATTCGGAGCCGAACGTCTGGGTGGTTGGTTCCTCGTGGGGTCTGCTTCTTGAGCTGCGTGTGAGGGAGAGCTGGAACATTGGTTTCATCTCTCTGAATGGAAAGGGGAAGAAAACATTGGTCCTGTGAAGCGACTAAATTGGGTGCCACGATAGGCCACCTTGACCGAAAAATAGAGCTGGGGTTGCTAAAGCTACCTTTGCAATCGTTGGGCGGTTGAGCCAAGGTTAACTTTGTAACGTTAGGGTTTGTTCAATAGTTTCTCCAGGACTGGAAAGTTGCACCGTGAAATCTTGACATGCTTCGCTCTAGGACCGAATAGGACAAACAGGAATGTCTTTTGCACATGTAAAATTGTAAGGGGAGAATGGGGGGTAGTGCAGATGGGACTTATGTGGCTTAAATGGCAAGCTGGAATGTAACTATTCTAGAATTGTCACTTTGTGTCTCTAATGTGATAGAATCCCTCCCTTCTCTGGAAGATCTCATTTCACTCTTGCTTGAGTTTTTAAGTGATTACTTCAATGTCTTTCATACTATTGGAATGCCTAATGTTGGCCCAGGCATACACAACATACACTGTTGGACTTGTCTAAGTTTGAACTAAGCTCAAGGTCTGTAGATGTACTTATGATTCAGACACAACTAAGGCAGGTTAAGCATTTCCTAATTGTCACCTTTTTATAATACAGTAGATCAAATGTAGTTGCAGAATCTGATGAAAGCCTGTTGGACTTGAAACAAAAAATGTGCAGCTGGAAAACTCATAGCCTCAGGTCTGTATCATTGTGCATAGGCCAAGTCAGCTTGTCCCCAACTTCTGTTCTATGGCAGGGATGAGTGTGCATACAGATGCTAAGGCTAGGTTGGTTGATTTGATGCAGGCTGTGGAAATAGCTTGTAAATGTATCTGGCTTTCTTGTACTTTATTTATCTATTCACTAGAGAATGCTGTATATAAAGCCACAAGAATGTGCTGAGTTTAACGTATGCTTCAGGTTGCTTTTGCTACTTTCCTATCATTGCAATGGTGCTTTTGGTGGTGTGTCCTGCCACAAAAGTGTAACCAATGAAATGTCCAGTATTTTTTTTTTTTATGTTAACAAATTAACTAGGTGACCTTGAACTGCCTAGTTAAGTTGATTGGTTTGGTTCTAATTTCAAATGAGGATGAATTAGTTTAATGTGGTCATGAATGAAGGTGACCATTCTTGGATATTAACACATCAGGAAAGTTTAAAATGAGTGGGATGTCTGAGCTCAGTAGGGTAGTTTCTTGCAGCTCCAGGCTTGCTTGGCTGATAAGACTTTTTATCACCCTGGGGATTTTGGAGCATGGTTGGCTCATCCAATGAACTCTGCCATAGGCCAGATTTTTCCATGGAGGGGACTCAAAGCTATCATCCAATATTTTCTCATAGAATATGCTTTGGCAAGAAAGCATGACAAATTGACAAGTCTGTTTCACCTGTAGTAATGAAATCCCTGCTCCAATTACCATCTGAAGGAGTGAAAGAGAAATGAGAAAAGATATGCTTGCACCACTTCCTCGAAACAAGATCATACTTTCATTCAATTTTTAAACTTTGCCTTTTCTTAAAACTTTCTCCTATAAAATTGCTGGGAACCTTAAAAGGTGTTTTTCATCCCCCCCTCAGAGGTGATGGGGGATGGGCCTCATGCCTGGACCCTTACTTTTCTGGAACTGATAATACAAGTGAACATATTTTGCAAACTTTTTACAGAGCTATGCAGGTAGCATGGACATCATCATCATCAGGAGGAGGAGACAGTCAAATGCCAGGATTAGGAGGTGGAGCTGGCAAAGGAGGTGGTGGTGGTGGATCAATCAGGGATGCTGGTGGTGCTTTTGGCAAGATGGAAGCTGCAAGAGAGGAGCAGTATTTCAGGAAATTGGTTAGTTTTGCCCTACAACCTTACTTCCTCGACTTTCCCTCCACTCCTCTGAGGTCATGGATATTCATACATCATCATCATCAATAAATAGGTTGTCCATGAAGTTGCTTCCCAAGGGCAAATTCCTTCCCTTTAGGAGTACCCAGAGCTAAAATTTTTGCATGGTTAAACTATGATTACATTCTAGAATAGCAGCCACTTGATTCAAATGTGAACATTTGTTTTTAAATAATAATAGTGGTAGTTATGCCAAATATAATTTTTGAGCCATCTCAGAGCAGTCACAACCAACAATTTAATTTTTGTACTAATAAATGCAAAATTTCCATGTATGAAGCAAAAGCAATGCCTGTTGCATACCCGAAAGTGAAAGAGACAAACATTTCAACTCAGGCTTCACTGTAAATTGACTCGATGTGATCCCCCAATCTTTAATTTTGGGTTATGCCATTGCCTGCCATGTGAATGTCAGATGAAATTTCCTCAATTCATCATGGTTTCTTGAGTGTCTGGGCTTTTTTTTCAATTACCTTTGTGATTAAGAAGGCCCTGGTGGTTAAAATCACACAAATTGAAATTGGGGTTTTTGGTTTTGCCATCCCCAAGTACTGACAATGATGTCTAACCAAAAAGTTTCTGAAAGTAAATTTATGAAAGAACAAGTATTAGGATTTTTTCTGTGAATCTAAATCCTATATATGGATTCAGTGAATACTGCTCCAGATAGTAGAGTTAGATTAGTCTACCCAGTCTTCATTCTTAATATCTGCTTACTCCCGTAAGGTTTAAATTTGCCATAGAAAGTGACCTTATATGTAACTCCATGTAACTTCTACATCATTACATGGTCTGCAATACTTCTTTTCTCCACCCCTGTACTTTTGGGGACCCAGTTAAAATCAACCAATGATGTAAAACATTTTCAATGTTCCATTTCCTTGTTGAAAGCAATATTTCTTTTTGACTGCACACAGGTAAAGTTGCAATGTGTCTTGACACATTGTTCTAAGAAAACATATTCTGCAGCTGACATGATGCAAATATTGAGCTCAATTCATGAGATGGTTAACTCTACTAGGATTATAATGAGGGAGTAGATTTTATGCAAATGCATATTTTCTGCAGCCTCGGGAGCATGTATTATTAGCAAGGGAAGTAATTTATGCAATTTTAAAAGTGTATCAAAATGCATATTTTGGGTTTTTTCTCATGTTTCACCCATTTTCTGTGGGGAAAAAAATAGTTTCAAAGGAAAACATGTTTTCTTTATATGAGAAAAAATGAAAAATTTTCATCAGGCATGTGCTGTGACAAGTAAACCAACTATTTCCAGCAGGCACCTGATGTTAGTCTATCTGGTCCAACTTTGCCATGCTTTTAATCCTCAAAGGAGTCATTAAATGCCATCCATCTTTCTCTCCTCTGAGGGAAGAGGATGATTTCCCTTTGACCCCTCTGCCAGACACTGGTGCAACACTCCAGGGGGGAGGCATCTGATATGAATTATTTTAGAAATCTTGATGCCTGACGAGTGCCAGAAACACCTAGGTCTGCCATTGATAGCCTGTAGCCCCTTTCCAATGTTTTGACAGGCTGATGACAGCACAAAATTAATGAGCTACCATAAAACACAATACCAGCATTGCAAAGTTGGACCAGATAGACTATATTGTCCTATATCTCCAAACTTCCACTTACTCCACTCTGTGTGGGGGGGGGGGAGCTTTGTAAAAGAAATGTACTTCTACCAAAGAATTAAATCTATGTTTAAAATATATATGAGTATATTTGAGTACTTTCCCATTATCATGTATGTTTATTGTAGCATTTTAAGCACATATTTATATGGATATTTTATTACTTATTAGTGCATAAAAATCTGCTCCCTAATTGTGATACATTTAAATGTTGATGGGTCTTCCCTAAAAATCAAGATGTATGGTGGGTCCAATCACTTGAATTGAAAATCTTTGCAACAACAAAAAATATCCATTATGACTTGAAGGAAAAAATTGTCTCTTACTCCAATATGGATGTTGTGTTGATGTCCAGCCTGCTGGATATCATATACCTACACAACAGAAACAAAACCCTTGTTATTTCATTACAAACTGGGTGCAGCATGCTGGACTAAAAGTGGCATTTGGTTAAGACCCAAATTTACACATTAATTGGAAGAGACCAGATAGGGATTTTGTTTCTACAAAACATCCTAGCCAAATGATATTGTCTGACTGCCATTACTATCAGTTATCAAAGAGACAAAGCTTGGGAGATACCAGACCAAGGTCAACCTCTTCATCTTTTTATGGATGGTCACAATTAATAATTGATAAATATATGCCACTCAGGACATCCAGAAACATAATTTTGAGCCTCTTTATCTTCCCTTTAATAACCCACAAGGAAATGTCCAATTCTCGCCTGAAGACCCAGAAAGAAAGCAAGCCATTATCATCAGGATAGAAGACAAAGTGAGCTGTGTGTGTTTGGACTTCTGTAATCTGATGAACATTGTATACGCTTTGTTTGATTTGCATTAGCTAATTAATAATTTTCATTAGCTTCATGCTCATCTGATTGTATATGCATGTTCTAATTCTTTCTGGTTGTCGTCAGACTCACAAGCTTGTAATCATCTGCTTGATTGGAAGCTAGCACAGATAATCAACATCTCATACAATATTAATCTTCTCCTGTACAGAGAGAAACTTTTAAACAGTGGTTGTCCTGCCTCCAGTTGATGACAATCATAGAGGCATACCATATGTATCAGCTCTTTTGACAACCATGAAATTAATTCTTATTTAGCTCCTCTGGACCTATTGGGTCACATGGTCACATTACTATTTTTTTATGCTAGTATGGTGCCAGTGCCCTTGGGAAAGAAGGCATGCTAGTATCATACTTGCATAACTTTGGTGTTGTGTTAGGACCTGTGCTTACTGCCCAAAGTCATTGTTTTAGGCTCGACATTCCATTACCCAAGTAATTAAAAGTAATATATCCTCATCTTGCAGGCAAGGAAGCAGTTGGATGATTTGAAATCACACTTGGATGAGCAGATCTCCTACCATGAGCATGAAATCAAGATGCACATGGAGAAGATTGAGGCACACAGGAAGAGAGTTCATGACATCGCAGAAATGCAGAAAAAAGAGAAAGAGTAGTCATCCCACCTCCCCTATTTTGTGAGGTTATCCTCGTGCAATCCAGTGATAGCCAGCTGTAGTCCGTTCCTTTCTTCTATGCTGTATTGTCTTTTTTGTGTTTGTGAAGAAATTTGCAAAGTGCAGAATATAATGTGACCTGCTCATAACTTCTTTGGTGGTGGTGCCTCACAGGCACCTCAGCTATATCAAAAAGAGATTTGATGTTATTGCTGAAGTGAAAACTGGGCCAAGAAAAGCTTATTATGAGATGTGCCTATAACGCAATCTACCTATAAGGCCAACACAGAGCCTAGCTTGATGGAAGAAAGGAAAGTTGGGTCATATAGGGGCAGTATGAAATCCAAAATTCAATAATTTCACTCCAAAAAAAAAAAGTTCTGTCTCAAAGGATCTTCCTATGGATCGAAACGAGTGCATCTCATCTCTCCTCTTAGTATGCAAAATATGATCCACTCTTTGAAGGCTGTTTCAGTTGTACCTCAACGGCCTTCAATACCCGGTTTGTCTTGGAAATGTATGCCTCTAAAGTGGTGTTTTTCATTAGGTGGTGGAGAATGTAACACACCACCTGCTTTGTTCCAGGAAAAAAAAGTAACATTTAACCTCTACTTCCCACCCGTTAGTTTGACTAATAGCATGAGGCGGCATTTGGATGTTTCACCATTCTAACTGGGAAAAATGACGATTTTACTGCAATGGAGGTATTGCATCTATGGGACCAGCACACGACAGAGACGTGGATTTGAACGGTGGGAGGCGAGGTGGAATGGAAAAAGTCCTTTGTAGGAGTCTTAGCGGGAATGAGACGGGAGTCGGTGAGATGAAAAATGTTTGCCCGCCAGAAGTCGTGAGAGCGCTTGCACCCGGGTTATGCTGGCCGGTGGATCGGGTGGCGCGTTTCACTAGCGGCTCACTGCTTTCGAGGCAATTCAGGGCCATTTTATTGGATTCAAGACTATGTTTGATTGTTCTACAGATGAGAACGAACTCGACAATGATACCGTTCTTACCAAATTTTGTTTTGAGGCGGAAACCAAAACTTTTTCGGCGAATTCCTTAATCTTTTCCCTTCTAAAATAGAACGCATGCCATTTCATGAACACAGTTTCGGTCACAGAGATAAATTGTTAGAAGAGCGAGAGAGGGGCTGAATCACATGAGACAGGTTAATGTAATAAAATAACGTTTAAAATAATACTAATAAGCGCATCATATGAGAAAAGGCATTACATTGACAGAATTTTCCGCCTTGAAGAACATCAACGCAGATTGCTCCCCCGACGAGCGTGGCCGCCGAGCCCGGAGCGTGAATAATTTTTATCCCCACTCCCCATCACTCACGACTGCTTAAGGAGGTGCTCCTGGTTCGCACGGGGAGGAGGCTGCAGCTGGAGCGCACGGCATGACCACGAGTGCTTGCATCAGCGTCGTGATTTCGCGATACGGCTGGTGGGAATGATGCAGTGTTGCCGGTTTTAATACTTAAGGGAAATCCCGTAATTTCGTGCATCCACGGTCTTCACTCGAAATATGCCCACAATTTTTCTCATTTCGCCATTCAAATATGGCATGAAAACAAATTTTAAACCAGAATGTTAATGCTAATTTTAATTTAGGAATTTTAGATCTCACGATTGTAGTTTCCATTGAGTCGAGCTTCTGCAGGGCAACCTGCGCACTGCAGGTTGCTCGCGCCTGGGCGCCGAGCCGTGGAGATGACTTATTCGCGCCATATTCCCACACTTTTTCTCTACGGGTTTCGGTCGTGGAGGCATGAAACTTGTCCATGGCCTACAAATTTTTCGGTGTAACATACAACGGAGTCTCGCCTTGAAGGTGCTTATCTCACCTCAGCTCTCCATAAAATAGCCTTTTCTCATTCGGAGAAGAAAGGGGAAACCCCATCCTTAGTAAAAGACTTGATGAGTTCTTATTCCAAATCCCCTTTGTGCTCCTCTTCCTCCCCCCTTCCCTTTGTGCTCAAGAACGGGAAATGGGAAGCCAATCTACGCAGGTAGCAGCTGACGAACCGGACACCGCATAATCCAAGCCACCAAAAGAGGCCGGAACGCCCACGGGTCTCGTCACCGGCTGCCTTCGACCTCCTACTACGGCGAGGAACCTCCAAATCGAACACGTACACTAGCCCAGTTAGCACTTCGACTCACGTCGCAGAGCGAACGAGACTAAGCTTATTTCAAGAACCAATGCGCAAAAGAGGCCGTTTCACATCCCTGCCCAAACCATGGCGCCCCATGACACGCCGGCGTATCGCTCCCAAGTTTCCTGTGACGCCATGTTGCCGCCGGCGTGTCATAAGTAGCCCTACATTTAGGACCGTGTTTGAAGTGTTTGGCATTGCTGGAAGAGCTTGTAGCTGATACTGTGGCGTACATGTGGAATACATAAGGACGTCCTAGTCACCGTTTTTGGCTACGGTAATTGAGGTTAGAAGGTACAACATTCACCTTTTTTTTTCTTATCATACGAAGTGCGTATAACTGCCTGAGGTAGCAGGAAGGATAGACAATTTTTTATTTACCGTTGGCGTGGCACAAAACACGCGCGGTGACACGCGGCGGTCAACGTGTTAAACTGGGGGCAGCGCGTAGCGTCGAGAGGGGGGCAGAGAGGGCACGTGCCTCCCCTTCCACTTTTCAAAAGAACCAAAAGTAAAAAGGAAAAGTAGCATGAAATGCATGAGAATAGCGTGTCAGAATTCCTGTGTCCCCCTCGCACTTTTTCAATCCATGCTACGCTGATGTCTAAGGGTTTCGATAACCATGGGGCTCGTTCCTCGCCTCTGCTATACTTAAATCTAAATCTAAATCTAAGTCTTAGGCTAAATCTTAGTCTAAAGGGTCAGAGCAAAGAATAGGCTTTTTGCTTTTAGATTTAGATTTAGATTTAAATTTAGCAGAGGTGAGGAACAGGCCCCTGGTCAAGTCATTTCCATGGAGCGTCGACTTGACTTGTTCCTATGCAAGGTATCCAAAATTGAAGAGAGATGGAGCCAGTGTACAGCCATTAGTAGCTTAGATCTTCAGTCGCAGACAGCTTAGTCACTAGCGCCATCTCTCTAATGAACTTTTGGATTAACAACGACCCGATTCCATAGCTGGGCTCACTTATGGGACTTTCTGGTCCTGGGTTAACCATGGAGAGTGACCACGGGGTGAAGAAAGATTTCCGAAGCGAGGAATAGAGAATAGAATGGTCTGTTGTTGGAGGAATGGCTCCCGTTTCCGGGGCTAACACTTCTGGGAAACGGAGAGTCCAAGGTGCCCTTTGCTTTAGCTAGACGCCATTCGATTCGTCCCTCGACGCCTCAGCCCGTCGTGATGAAAGGCAGGGACATTTGCATACCATTCTGACGAAAGGCCCGCGTGTGTTAGAAACCTGTCTGAGCGAGAAGGGGTTGGCAAAGGTCGGAGTCGAGAGGAAAACAAGGGCTTCGTGAATTTTGGGTCCGAGTCATAGTCTATCGCGGGAAACAAAACTCTGCCTTCCTTGCTCCCAAGACAAAAAATGATTACAAAGAACCACCAAAACCCTTGAACTCGCTCGTCGCTTCGCAGAAACCCCATGCGAGCGATTGCACGTTGCGCAAGCCTGGACACGTCGCAGTGGTGCAAGAGGGTGAAAGAGTGGAGCGTATCCATCTCGTGGGGGGGAGGGACTGTCGCGGAGCTTCAGTCCTGTCCGGACACGCGCTGGGCGTTACGCTTCGTGTGGTGGTCGCCTCTTATAAGGTCTCCGTGGGAGAAGTTCATCTTTACAGTCCATCTTTGACAATCAGGTTCAGGCAAGATCACTCTCAGCGAGTTTTTTTTTTGCCTCACGTTGCCCTCTTCAGTCGTGGTCCTTTTCCAATTCTTTCTGAAGTTTTAAGGATTAGGTTGTAATTTGATACTCATGCCATGAGATATGAATATGCACCGTTACCTTGTGAGACGGGCGAAACGGTGGTAAATACAACAGTGGATCCATGATAGCCAGGACTTAGATTCGGTTCACGACCCAACCCGCATTTTCCGTGATGTCAGCCCCACGTCCTCCTGACCCGCCCCGCAGTCTCGCTGCGTGGAGTCGGGAAACACCCCTTTGAGGCCACTAGACCTTGAGGTTCACCCATGTATCACCCTCGTCCGTGGCTAGGTTAGGCTTGTTATTCGTGGGAAGCTAGGCCTAGGCCCACGATGCAGTGATTTTACTTTCATTTCGTACCACTTTTAAGTTAGCCTTGTCCATTGGACCCTCGGGCGCCAATGACGGTAATGATTGAAATTTAAAGAGCTACAAGCCTGATGAGGTATGAGCAAAAGGTATGGCACAATAGGCTAATGTCGCAGAACTTAACATGTTAACGTTAGACGAAACGTTGAACTCGATCCAGCCCCGAGGCCGCAACGAATGTTGCCGAGTCAAGTCACCCCTAGCCTACCTTGCGAATGTTCACTTACAATCTGCTGGTTGCAGAATGTTTGCCCGACCGAACCAAGGTGTACTAGCCAAACATGACTTCATAGCCAAAATGTATGCCTAACACTTTTTGCATTGTTCAGATCAACGTTGTGACACATGAGAAGGTAGGCCTTGGCTAAGCAATCAGTAAATTTGGCATATGACCCATGTTAACCTTTTACCTGATATTTCCCCCATATGATGACAGATTTTCAAATGCATTGACTACTCGTAGCAGTGGATGTGGGAATATTTGAGTGAAAGATGTAAGCTCAATCCAAAGACACTACCAGTTACTTTAGCAAATTTAGCAAAGACAGTTAATTACTAGCAAGTTTAGACTGGAGTTACTGTTGGATCATTTGACATGACTGAATTATGACTGATCATTTGACTGAAGTCTAGGTCCCATATGGTATTGGCCTCCATATGTATTTATTATTTAGTCTGATTCCAATGTACATCTACTTATTAATATGCTGTATGTTGATATATATTGGTCAGCATTTTGATTGAGATGAGGTATCTTTTCCCTCTTGAGCCTGAAAGTGTACATCAGCACATCTCTTTTACAGTTTTTTGTCATTTGTATTACAGTATGAGGCATCTATTCAGTGTGGCCTTTTCTCAACCTTTGCTGTCCTCTTGATTTAAGCTTTGGAGAAACAATAATATTGTATATCTAAGATCATGTTCATAGCTATATGAAGGTTTTTGTGTTTTAGGGAGGCACAAGTGCCTTATCACTTGCAGGCCCTTAGGCCTGAAGGGGAAAGGGCATAACATCTGCCTGTTAGCCTATAGGCCAAGGCCTAGGACTACTGTGGTACCAAATACTGTGCCAAGTACAAAGTACCAAGAGTACTTTGGTGACGATTCTTGGCTCATTGGGCATAAGGGAGAACTGGATTTTGGTGACGCTAAAGCAAGGTACTGCTCAACTTCAAAGATGGATGGTGGACCTGTAGAATTGATTCATTCCTCAAAGGAGGCAAGATGTGCATGGAATATCTCTCAGCCTCAGACAGTCACAGCATCCCTGGCTGATGTCATGTCAGAAGAGCTGGCTAAAGCTCTACAAGAAGAGTAAGTGAGACCTACTTTTATATAAGCATGTTCATTTTTGGCACACTTGGGCCCGATTTCATCTCAGGATAAGGCCAAACTCTTTTCCTTCCTATAATCTGCAGGAATTGTGCAACCCTATGCTTGGCATAGTGGTTGATTTCTGCCATTGAAATATGGGACCCATTATAATAAATCTGGAGAGCTCTAGCAGCCTATGTATAAGTACTCAGTATTGATTAAAGGCCTTTTTCATATCCTTTTCATGCAGGAAATAAAATAAATAAGAATGTGATAGCATCGTTGTAATCTGATGCCACTCAGTGTTTCTTTACATAATGAAAAGAATCTAATTGTATGTTATCAATACACATACATGGTACTTGGATTGACTCCTATCTACTCTTGACAGATTGTTTTGCACACTCTGTTGCTTATTTTTAGCCTTATTAGTTTGGATGCCTCATTTACTTCTATCTCACCATTCTGACATTGTAAAAGCATGCTTCATAAAGAGAATCAGATGGATAATGGCATATTCTTTGGTTGATTTCAGGGAAGATTCCAGTCACAAACAGTGGCAAAGTGCATCTCCTCTTGGTGCATCTGGAGTTGATAGCAACGACAAACCAGGTGACTGCTCTGAAGACTATTTGCTAGCTCTCCTGCTCCAGGAAGAGTTTGATCGTGAACAGAACTTCATTCTGAAAAAAGAAGAGGACAAATTCAATGGAAATTCAAAAGGTACACTTTGATACAGTAATTGGTGAATTATTCATAATATTGTGCTATTCTGGCAGTAGGTGATATCTCAAATGGATGTTTTTCCCTGAAATAAAAATTAGAATAATATTCTTCAGATCATAATTTATATGCTAATTTAATTCATCAAGCAAGTACTGACTAATTCTCAATGCCATTTTATACCAAACGGCAAGAAAGAAAGGAATAATTGGTGTTTATAGCATACCCCTCTGTGAAGCAATAAGATACTTCTTCTTGGGCCTCGGGTTTCATGCAAGAAATCCCATGAAGGACTCATTTATAGTTCTTTGACAGTCTTCTAGTATGGTACAGAGTTATGTCATGTATCCTTCTTTTTAAGCTCCATTTGTTTTTGATGACAAAATGACAAACAACATGGCATCTGCTATACATAAGCAATCAACAGATCTTTGACAATGGATGATGTATCTCTAGTCTGGTTCAGCTGTTTTAACTAGTTATCAAGTCTAAAGGTGCTATTTTTGTATTTTGATTTTAGTTGCCATATCCTTCTCCAATTATCGGCGAGTGGTCCATTCAGAGTCAGATTCTGAAGATGAGTTTGCTGATGAAGATGACTTGCATCGAACTTGGGACTCTTTTGAGGTGAGATAATGAGCAGGTTCATGTTTTATGCTTGAAGAAAAGTAATAATACATAAGACTGTGTACTAGTGAATGTTTTTTTTTTATGGAACTTAAAACAGGAAAAACACACTTGGTATGGTGTAAGATGAGGCTTACTTCAGTAAGAAATTTGGATTCATATCAACTGTTGGAATTACTTTTGGAGTTGACTACCTATATTTTAATGATCTGGACCTTAATGTTCTTTCTATTATCAATTTTAATGCTGTTTTCTCCATAGAAATCTCAGAAGGAAAGTCCTGCAATTGGGAAATGTGGGTACAGCAAATCTGTTGCCGGGATCACCACAAAGCATGATACAAAAGCATCCAATCGACGAAATGCGTGTCGTATCATGGAATTCCCTCCTGGATTTGCAACAGGAGATGGTGGTGGCTTTGACATGCAGCTATCTAATAATGTGAGTGTAGTACTTTGCCTTTGTTTCAGATTTTTCTGTGATTGCCAGTGTCATGATTCAGGCTGTCTTCTTAGGTCATAAATGTATTGGGAGGGATTTTTATTTAGCATAATGATCAAAATCATCAATGGCATCATTATCTTTATCATTTTCCCATCCAGGATAGAATTTAAAAATCACTTAAACCTCCTTGTGAAATATTCTGGTTTCATGGTGAAGTGGTATTCCTTGTAGCCAAATGGCTAACTGACTTGCCTGCTGGTCTTAGTAAATTGCTTAACCCATCCACTTCTCTAGCTGTCAAATTGACAGCCTGACATTATATGCGTTAGGGATAATTGGTGAGTGGATGAGTTATCCTCCTCCATAGCGTTTATCCCAAGACAGTCTTGGGGTAGAGGGAAGTGTCCTGTCTAAAATATGTTCAACATCCCAAGCACCACAACTCCACTTGTCCCAAGATCTTCATGTGATACCCTGATGCGTTTTTTTAGAAGGTTTCCAATGTCTCAGGATGTCTTTGGGACATCTTAGAGACACTTTCAGTTGAATTATTATAGATATCCACAGAGGTGGAAAAAGTTCTGTAACCTGGTGACCTGATTCTTTGACAAGAATAAGAAAGAGCACTAAGGAGGTTAAACTTCATAGCAGATTTGAACTTTGCATTAAAATTACAAAGGTATCCTCTTGGCCAGTGGTTCTCAACTTTTTCCTTGCTGTGGCATACTTTCAGACATTGATATATTGGCAAAACCCCTGCACGTACACAGACCTCTGTGCTCAATAATATAGGAGAACCAGTACATCTAAATTCATTAAAGAAAGCTGATTCAAATACTTCAATTTTTTTTTTACTTTTTTATTTCAGTGCAATACTTGTGTCTGCCTTAGGATACAAGAATCCAGATATGTATTTATATTTGAAGTGATTCCTTGGTAGTAATTTGTAAGGCTTAGATGGGACCTTTATTTTATATGTAACCAAAATAAGAGAAGGTTGACTGGTGAAATGTGTAGTGGCAAAAGCAATCAAGATTTTCATTGCAGCAGCAATATTGATTTTGGTATTCTTTTTTGACAGATACTATCTTAGCAAACTTGTATACCAGGAGGATGTAATATGAGTCATTATTGATCAAAATTGACTTATATCAAGAACTGTCATACTTTGAAGGTGCTTCTTTGAAAGAGGTTTTGGCACCCACACTGTAAAGTGCTCCTTGCTTACATTGGTGGAGGAGCTCTGGGCTATTTGACCTCCTTTGGTAACAGTCTAAAAAAAAAGGAAAATCTCTCAGCATCCAAGGTATCCTTGTTTCCATCTCAAACTGTCAAAGGGTGCTGTAGCACACAGGTTGATAACTGCTGCTGGAAGCATTTTTATGTGTTTGAGCTTTGTGTTGGCCATTAACAAAAATAACGAATTCTTATTAATTATGCAGGTTTTCAACAAACTGAAGCTCCATTCAATGAGTGAAGAAAAAAGAACAGCTCGTGTGCATGACAAGATGGAAAAGAGTACGGCTATGATGGCATTGGATCCCAAAACTAGACTTCTCATCTACAAATGGGTCAACTCAGGAATGTTGGACTCTGTGGATGGTACCATCAGCACTGGGAAGGAATCTGTTGTCATCCATGCTCAAGGAGGAGAGTGAGTTTTTCCTCCCTTTTTTTATTTCCACACTCACTGAGATACTTAGACCAAGGTGCAAGCTTAACCTTGAATGCCACTGCAGAGTGGAAGACATGAATATGCCAAAAGAATGTGCTATCAAAGCCTTCAAAACCACCCTAAACGAGTTTAAGACAAGACACAAGTATATACGAGAGGACTACCGTTTCAAGGACCGCAATACCAAGTTGGTGTGTGATTTGAGTTTTATTCTCATAGATGTAATTGGGGGAGGACATCATTAATACTGGTTGCTTTTTTCCTCACCAGAACACTCGCAAGATCATCCATGTTTGGGCCCAGAAGGAGATGCACAATTTGGAACGTTTGGAGAGAGCTGGAATTCCAGCTCCAAGACCTCTAGTCCTCAAAAAACATCTCCTGCTGATGGAGTTCATTGGAAAGGATTCCATGGCAGCTCCAAAGCTTAAGGACTTAAATCTTAAAACTCAGGAATGGGAGTTAGCATATGGCCAGGTTGAACAAGTAAGCTTTACCATTCCTTGCTCGGTTCCTATAGTAGTCACTTGAAGGGTTTATGACACTCCAGCATGAAAAATCTTTGCAGCTCAGTAAAACTTAAGAAGTATCTGATTGGAAAGAAAGTTCTCGGAATTTCTTGAATATCCAGTACAATTTTTTTCCAGAGCATGCTAGAATGTTCTGCGTGTGTTTATAAGTAGGTCGTGTCCTTCGGCATACAACCATATATTATTACAGCCCTGGTGCTCTCCAGCCATGAACCAGCCCTACCCTCTTACTAAGGAGCAAGTTCGCCTGCTTCTTCTTTATGACTTCCAAATCGAGAAGAAGGCAGCCAATTCCATCGCTGAC